AAAAAAAACACTGTAATTATTGTTTCACTTAGTCACAGGAGAATATATATTATATTTTTATCTAATATGTAAAATCACATCGATGAAAGGTGAATATTATTTGTGCGTTTTGTAGTATCGATGTGCCATGATCCACATGCAATTACAGAGTATAATACAGGGGCTTCATTACCATTTTCAGTAGGAGGGTAACTGGTTTTCACAGGTGGGCAAACGTCTTTTGATGTGAACTTCTCTATAACAAAAACCTTCCCTCTAGATGGTCAAACCAGGCGGGTAAAATCTTCCTTACAACCAGTAAATTTGCCAGGTGCCTGGCCAATCATGAAACCCCTGATAACATTTAGTAATACCATACTTGAGCTAATACATTAGGTGCAAAAGCTGATGCCTAGTGGTGATTGGCAGTACAGTTCAGTTTTGTTTTTCATTTTGACCAGCCTATTCCTCAAAAGCACATAGTACCTAATAACAATTTAGCAATAAGGTCCTAATTTACAATTATTTTACATCATATTCATCTTGGTTTTATGCACAGGATATAACTGGAACCTTACGAGCTGCACACAAATGATCTTCAGCATGTCTGTGCCTAAAATAAGGAACTATGAACTACATTACTAACCGCAGACCACTGTCCAGGACAGTTTCAGATGTCCTTAATATTGTCATCACATGATGCATGTCAGATATTAAACTTTCACCCAAATAAAACGTGTTTGGGATGAGATCAAATACATTCCATTGTACACAGGTGCATCTTTTCAGTAAAGGTGACAGGTGATGTAAAAATGTGGTAAGATCAAAAAAGGGGCACACAAAATGATAGCCTAGTGTGTCACTGATGTTCTTACCACAATTTGATGTCTTCTGGGATCAGTTAGTGAAAAGATGTACAGCAACATGGAATCTACTTGCTTTATATAATAAGACACCAAAAAAAAAGTGTTAATGAAGTCAACTATGCATCTGTCTTCCAATTGATCATAAGTAAGAAGCAATCAAAATGCAAGTCATTAAAAAAATTGGCATATAATATGACATTAAGAATAACAGGATTCAAAGGTCAAGAAGCACTCTGGCAAACTCTAACTGTCGCTGTTTGGCTAATTGCTAGGTGTCAAATGAAGTTGCAATGGAAACGCAGACAGCTAGGTGCTTTGCTGTCAATAGGCGATTTGCAGGACAGTGTCATTGGACTACAACAACCAGAATCCTTCGCTTTTTTTCTTTTATATGTTAATTAAGGCACTTTGTTCTTCAAAACTGCACTAGGGCTTCAAAATGTAAATAATAAAGAAAAACGAAAGAATTAGCTTGAATCATCGCATACAATTTGGCAACTTTTTCTTTGATGGCCGGTCAACGAGCGCTCAAACGACACTCGAGCGCGAGGAGTTGCATTGACATATGAGGCCTCTGGGCAACTCTAGATCTCCACGTGTGAACTAACTGTTTTCGCGAAATATATATCTAGTCTCAGGGAAAAATGTATTTTACAATTTTGACAGTGATACGATTAAGAGATTACCGGAGATACGGGATAAATGAAAAATTCACGGAATACAGGATATTCAGGGGAAAATTAGCCGGATTTTTTGAAATTGGAATTATAGGGACTGTGACGGCATAATTAACAGGATATGGAACATTTATTTGCTGTCAATATAATACATTTCACGTAAGCATATTCCGTCTTTAGCTACAACTTGGTGAATTAAGCCTCAGTTCAGTTAAACCTCAGTAGTCATCATCATAGCTATAGGCATTAAAAAAATTAGTTGCCTCCATCTTGCTAAGTTCTGGTCTAGAAACTGTAAAGAAAAAAAAACGATTAGAACATTCTGTTAACACAGTTTACTACCTGTTTTGGAAAACTATTCAGAATCAAAAACAACAGTTTCACCGGCTCTGTATGTCTTTTGAGGTGGGCTCGAAGTCCCGGTCGGGGTACTCCCAGAAAAATTTAGTGGGGGCGCGCTACCCAAAACCTTACCCCATTTATGAGAAAACTCTGTTATTTTTCCTAACTTATTTATGACCTGACCAATTAAAACTCGATATCCTATATATGACCGTTGCAGCTGGCACAGTTGCCCTAAACATAATATATGAAGGGCTTCGTTGATGCCATGGTCTTATCGATAATGATGAAAAAGTAGCTTCTTCTAAAAGAACATACCCAGTGCAAGACAAGAGTGCAAAAACCATACCCTATTCATGACCAAAATGGCCAAAATTGATACCCTATTTATGACAAAAACGGCTGAAAACCATATCCTTTGGGGCCGCAGATACCCATATAGCCCATATAAGGGAGTACCTCCTCCCCCGGGCTCGAAGCAAAGTTACGGTCGGTATACACAATAGGGGACATATTGCGAGGACATGAAGCGGTGTCACGTAGCAGCGATATTTTCTTTGTGTGACATGACCGTTTTTGCGGAAAAGTTCTGTTGCGGGGATAAAATTTTGTCCCCGCAACATGGCGATGCATAAAATTCGACCAGCTGGTTTGAATTCATGCGTACGTCATGAAGCCGGGACAAAATGACTTCATTTTTCAATGTCGCTTCGTGAGTGTCAGCTTGCGTACGGTCCCTACATGCAACATGCGCCCTAATATACAAGATAATTCAATCGACATTCATTATTACGTCATTTAACTTTGAAAAGATCAATTTCTCATTCTCTGACTCAGGCAAACCATACATCTGAGGTGTTTATTAAAATCGCTTTGACGGAGTCATAATTAACTATTCCTTGTCGGTTCGTGACAGGCTGACTCGCTTTCCAGCCCATTCTATAAACACGTTGGAGTTGGGCAAAAATTTTACGGATTTTAGAACTGAGGCATATGCAGGAAATAACAAATTCAATTCATTTTCAGTCCCTTTTATCTTCCATCATCCAACAGCAACTTTCTCATACTCGAGATGTAAAAATCATATACCATATAGGCTCCTCTTTCGCCGCCTCCACCCGAGCGCTTCTTTCTTCTCTTCTCTGTGCTCTCTTTTCTCGTGTCGTTCTTCCATTTTCTCACGTACTTTCTCCTTGTAAAATCCACGGCGTTTCTGCGCCAAGATGTGACTTAACAAGAACAACATCAACACGAGGGATAGAAGATAAAGTCCTCTGGCCATATCTACTTGAAAATGTAAACAAATCTTTTTATTATTGTAAAATTATAACTAAGCTATCCTCTAAAGTATTTATAACCATGGCCACTGCAAGTAAGTAAGCCAGTGATTAAGTCAGTCAGTCAGTCAGTTAGTCAGTTAGTCACACCGTCAAACAGTCAGTCAGTCAGTCAGACTTAAGTGAGTCAGTATGTAAGCACTTTAATAATATGCCGAATCATTTGTTTGAGTTTCGACGAAAATTCATTGAAAGAAAATTTGCTTCGTCAGCCACAAATAGGGGTCAAATAAAACTCAAGGCGCCACTCACTCCTACATTGGTCTCCTATAGGGTTCAATTCAAATTATACTGAAAATCAGTAATCCACTTCACTCAGTGCAATAAATAGAGTGCACGATTTCTGAGCAAAACCTGACTCCTGCTCAGTGGCGGATCTATGGGAGTGGTTATTATTTTGGGTAAAAAAAAATCGCGAAAAGAAGAAAAGCGCAAGCCGGCAGGTTAACCAAAAAAAAGCCTCCCCCCTCCCCCACCCCCCTTAGCTCAAGGTCTGGATTCGCCACTGCTGCTCCCTTACTCCATCAAACTGTAAAATCCGCACGCTAGTCTCGTAACTTTATCACTCCACGGTAAATGGTTAGGAACTAAAATTTGTTCGCAATATAAACGTAAATTTACGTGATTCCTTTAGACCTATAGCCAACTCACGAAACACATAAAAGTCTGAAGACTGACTCGTCATAAGGTGCATGCAGCCCGGCCCAGATCAATTGGATTAAAATTTCGAGTTTTGGTTTTTGAGAAGGGAAGAAATCAGGAGAACACAGAGCGATAAAAAAAACCTCGGAACGAGAACAAAAACCAACTCACATATGACGCCAGGCCTAACAATCACTCCCAATAAATCTCTGCGGCGGAACTCTAATTAACGACCCCGCAAGAAGTAGTTGCTATAATGTGTTTTTTTTTATTATTAATATCAATTTAATTAGCTCCCAGAATTGTTTTTATATTCAGTTTGCCCACAATTCTGGCCTAATTGTCCGTACTGACACGTTTACTCAGCTGACCCAAGATGGTTTTTATTAATCTTATTCAGTTCCTCCAATAAGTTTGAGTGAATCATCCGTACATTTCTTTTCGTTCGTGAGACACTTTTTAATGTGC